TCCTGAGACTTGATGGGGACAAAATTCTGATTTAAACACAGAAAACTTACATTTGTAATTTCTGCTGTCACAGTTTTGTCTTTTAGCTCAAATGCAGTGATGACGACTCATTTAAAAACGTGTAGATTTGTCCAGAGATCACTATTTGATGGATTTTTTGACACAGAGTTCAAAGGTTTAATTTAACTTAAATAATTATACACATTTACAAAAGTGCCAAACTCATTTTCAAGCACAAATTTATGAATGACATGAGTCTGGCTGAGTCTGTTTGAATGAATGAAAGTGCTTACAGTCTACAAGGTCTAACGTTGTCCTGCTTACACATGGTGATACTGCACTCTAGTGGACCGTTGAAGTCCATGTTGTTTATAATGGGAGGTTCTGCTTCAGATGCAGAGTTTGTATTCAGGACAGAAGTTTTATTTGAGTTGTGGAACATTTATTTGTGTTTCTGTTGAATAAATGTTCAGACATCTTGTGTTTTTACACCTTAATATAATAAATAATCCACTTTAAGCCAAAGACGAGCATTGATAATCTTTTCTAGTTAAAATAAAAGGTATTAATAAAAGTCATTATTATGAGTATATGAGTATAGTATTTTTTGTTACTTATTTCTACAAATTTCAGAGGCAAAAATCAGGTTAGAGACCTACAATTTACTCTTTCTATTATTTATTTTAAAACTTTACTTTTACGTTACTAAAGTTATCAGTAAACCAGTTTCCTCTAAATGTATCTCTGAGACGTTTTTCATGTTTCATGTAACAAATGTACTATTGTTATATTCTATATCGGATATTTTGATGAGACCTTAATGAGAAAAACGTTGTTATAAAATTACAGATGGCGCCCGGGTTGTTTAGCCAGGTGGGAGTGGGCGTGGCCTGTGTCGTCCTTTTTGTTTTAAATAACGTGCCCGTGAACAAACACCAACAGCACGGATTGAGAACTGACAACCTTTGTGGTGAGATTACTTAAAGAAACTCAAATGACAGAAGAGTTTAAAGAGCTGTAAGACTGAACGAAGTGATCGATAGTGTCCACCTGCAGCCGGAGGATCGATATCCAGGTAATAATACTCGATAACTTTATTGATAACAGCTGCTGGATTCATTTGTTTACACTCAATAGTTCAGACACTAGTTTGATGCTGTTTCCTGCCACTTTATTATCAGTTATGACTCCTGAGAAACAATTTACTGCTGAGCATAAAGTGTTATATGTTATTTATTTATTTATTTCTATCTTTATATGTTTAATGTACCTTTACAGCATTAAATGTCACTCTTTGCGTTGTGTATATATATATATATATATATATATATATAACTAACTATTGTTTGGATGCTGGAGGATTCAGAATCACTTTTATTGTCTAAGTTTGTGAACACATACAAGGAATTTGACTCCAGTTGCTCTCGATGTACATACACAGATAGATAGATAGATAGATAGATAGATAGATAGATATACTTTATTGATCCCTAGATGGGAAATTGCAGTGTAGCAGCAGCATTACACACAGTAACAACACAATGAAGTAAAGAGAACCTAGACATATCAAAAAAGCAATATAAAAAATTTATAAAAATGTATAAATAAGCGGTATAATTGTAGTGCAAAGTAAAAAATATAAGGTGCAGTGAACAGATTATGTAAAAACATATAAGGTGCTTGGATGCTGTATTGTTATGACCAGAGTTTTAGCTGTTATTGTACAGAATAAACATAACTAACAGGACAACAAGCTCAACAACATAGACAATAATAATGTAATCGTTCAAAGTGCAAAGGATGCTGAGATAAATAGTTCTGTGCCGTTAGGTGGATATAATAGAATACAGTAAATATAATGTGCACAGCATTCATAGATGTGAGTTTAGAGATGATATTGATCCAATTTCAGATGTGCAAACATTGCATTACACAGTACAATGAGTGATAAATGATAGAATATCTGAGACAGGGCCAAAGCTACCATTGAAGACTACTTACCTGAGGTAGAGCTGCAAAGATTAGTTCATTCATTGATTAATAAACTCTGCAACAATTGCATTAATCTAATAATCACAGCATTATTTTTCAAACATTTGATCGTTCAAGCTTCTCAAATGTCAGAATTTGCTGCTTTTCCTTGTAGACGAGTGAATAAGTGAATATTCGTAATGTTTCTCACAGTTTTCTGATGTTTCATAGACAAAAGGATCACCAGATTAATCAATTATAAAAGTAACAGTGAGTTGCAGCCCTACACTGAGGAAATGTCCCAGTATTTTTCCTGGAATTTGTGGGTTTTAACAACCTGTTGCTAATTTAATTCCACAATTGAAAACTAACACTTTAGTGGATATTTTACGGGTTGATTCCAATATGTTTAGACTATAACGAACAAAGGAGGTAGTTTTATTGAGCAGTTAACTGACTCAATAAAATGAAATCCTGGCTTTATATCTGGCAGATTCAGTAGATGGTGGTAGCTTTATAGTTGTAGTTGACAGTAGTTTCCAGTAGAGGGCAGTAGATACACACAGATGTTGTATTCTGGCTTCATGCCTTTGCTTCTTTGCACATTGATTGATGTTAATTGCTTCGGTGCCAGTTTGGACCTAACCTATATATTGACAATGTGCTAAATGCTCTTTATAGAAGCACGCAGGGGCTCGGCAACAGCGGTAGAACTCAACTGACTGTCCCATTATTGATCGTAGGCCGGTTATTATCAGCCGCACTGATGAGCTGGTTGTTCGTTACAGAATGAGCCAGAGAGGAGGCCATGTACAGTAAATACACACTCTCACAAATCCTGGAGAATAATTGACCAGTGTGATTGGTATGCTAATGCAGGGGAACTAAACCAGAGTCCAGGGACCCTCTGGGGGGCTTTCAAGGTTAATCAGGAACATGATAAGTAGTTTATTCTCATAATGATTAACAAGGATTGATCCCTAATCGTATGTTTGTCTGCATTATCATCATCTGTAATGTGAACAATAAGTCAGATTTATCAGATCGTTAGTCGACTGACAGGAAATAATCTGTAACTATTTTCATAATCAGATAATAATTCTGTTATTTTTAGACAAAAATGTCAAAACTTCTATGATTTCAACCATTAAATGAGAATATTTGGCAGCTTTCTCTTTACTATTGAACTAAATACTGAACAAATATGAATGAATATGTCACATTGGGGTCCTGAGGAACAGAAAAGAAGAACATCATCACCATAATCTGATGTATTAAAGCCAAAAGTATTCAGTTAATGAATCAGTTCAGTTAATGGAGGAAATAATCAGATCCTATTAGAGCTGAAACAATTAGTTGCTTAATTGATTATTAGGAAAAGGAAGTGGCTTCTCTCGTTGTTTTTACATTGCTATGGATTACACAAATAATATCAATCACTGAGCTTTAGAGGTGATGGTAGGCAGGCTAGTGGTTTCCCCCTGCTTCCAGTCTTTATGCTAAGCTAAGATAAGCTAAGCTAAGCTAAGCTAATCAGCTACTGGTTGTAGTTTCATATTTACCGTACAGACAAGAGAGTATTTCTCATCTAACTCTCAGAAAAAAAAGATATATTTGGGATACGTAATTCCCAAAATGTCAGAAAATTTGTTGATATTCTATTTCAAGTCATTGTAAATGTAATATTTTGGGGTTTTGAGGCTGTTGGTGAGTACGGATCAGAACTGATAAGAGTTCATTAATACCAATATTAGTTCTACTTATCTGTCTGGTTCTTTGTCAATTTCCTTATTGATTCCTGATACAAGTTTCTGTGCACATGAGTTTGATGTTATAGTTTTGCAAAAACACGGCGGTATCTAAATTCCCTAAAGGGAATTGATAAGCTCAGAGTTAAACAGTTCTGATGGACAATTTAGTACTGGAACCGGTTCTAGATCTCCCATCCCTGATGATCAGACAAAGACAATGTGACAATGTGAATATGTCACCTTGTGTTCTGGGTAAATGAACCAAGATTAACTGACAGAATAACCAATTATGAAAGTTATTGCTTGTTGTTTTTAGGGTGATCTTTGACTTAATAAAACTGTGTACACACTATATGCAAAAAGGAGATAAAATGGGGTTCTTCAGTCTAATATGGAACTAATAGGAGGTCCTTAAGTCAAAAAACACCCCTGAGCTTACGTTGTCCTCCAACTTGTACCAGTAAATGATTTAACTGGATCTAAAGTTTTGACACGTCCTCCCTCCTCCCTTCCTGTATGTTTGTGCGTTGGCCAACCTGTCTGTCTGTGACCATCATGCCTTTTGGGGGGGGTTGCGAGGTCAAACCTGTTAACCTCTCCATTGAAGAACACATCATCAGGAGGGGGGGACGATGTGCAGCTCGCTACACCTTTAGGCGCACAATCAGACACCCTGCTCCCACAGGCAGAACGTAGCTTTCAACACCGAGCAAACATTTGATCTGTCGGCGGATCAGCCCACTAACCCTCAACCCCCCCCCCATTAGCCCCGGCATGTTTCACTCCATTACTCGTATTTGAAGGTGTACAGAGCTGCTGGTAACATGGAGAAAAGATTTATCTCCTGAAAGATGACATATTCCCAACACAGCAGCTTCAAAAGAGACTTTCATAGTGGTGAAACTGAGACGTGTATTTAAGGTGTGATGGGATTTATGGGACCAGAAAGTGAAGCCTGACAGCCCCCCTTGTTTTGGGATTTTGGGGACAACTTGTTTGTTGTTGGAGAGCAGCCTGTGGTGTTAACCCATGACCCCGCTGCCCTCTGACCCACGGGACGACAGCTCCATCCACGCGTCAGGGAGAACGGCTGTCACAGCGGAAACATCCAGAGCACAGGGAGGAAGGGACGACTGGGGTTGGTGTGGCTAAACCAAGGATAAAAAAAAAAAATAAAAAAAAACGCAGCGCAAGTTGAGAGTGTCAGGCTACCGGAAACATAATCTGTCTGCAGGAAAAGTGTGGATAGATGGCACAGGATGGAGAGGGGAGTCAGGATTAAGAGCTTTGTTAAAGGTTTCTTGGAGCAAGAGATGAAGCTTGCTGTGTTATCGAAAGCAAAAATGCCTACATATACATTTGTAAAAGCTCATTTGTAGATTTAGACTTTTTTTCTATTGATGCAGTTCCTTGTTTTTACAGTAAAATCTGACTTGAATTCACTTTAAAACAGGTTAAAATCTTAAAAACAACGTAATAGGCAGCAGTTGTAAGTATGCACTGATGACAAACATAGATTTTGGATTTATCTCACTTAATAACAAATTCCAGTTTTTAGCCTCTCAAATGTGAAGATTTGCTGCTTTTCATATATTTGTGAACTAAATATGTTTTTGTTTTGGTCTGTTTGTCAGACAGAACAAGACATTTGTTGATGTCTCGTTAAAACTGGGTTGCATTTTTCACTGATGTTTTTTTAACCAAGCAATCAATCTGGAAAATAATCGTTAGTCTTACAATCAATAAAATGATGAAATTCCAGAGTCCATACCAACATCTTGCTTGGTCATTTCACTGTCACTTAATTGGTTGATTATTTTTTATGATTAATCATTTTGCAAACCTAAAGATATTGAGTTCAGTGCGATGATATAAAAGCAAGAAAAGCAGCAAACACTGACATTTGAGAAGCTGAAACAAGCAAATATTTGACATTTCTGCCTGATTAGTGACTTGTTCAAATCCTGTTCTAAATTCTAACATCTCAAGCTTATTGAAGGGACCAAGTAATCCAAATAACAGGGGATATAGTTTATAAAAGCATTCACAAAATATTTAAAGTTATTATTTGATGCAATTGTAGAGCGATGAAAAGCTCATATTAATTTAGACCTCCAACCGATGATGATTTACAATTAATCGATTCATTGTTTGATCTATAAATTCCCAAACATTCAGTTTACAGTCATACAAAACAGAGAAACACAGAAAACGTTCACATTTGAGATGCATGAACATGTAATTGTGTAATCAATTGATCAACTATGCATCAAGATCAAATCCAAAAAAGGAAAATAATGTACAAAATCCTGGACAATGCAATGTACATTTAGTGCAGTAGGTTTAATTCAAGCTCACGACACAAGGTGATACTTTTTCCTGTATTTTTTTTTTTGGTGGAAACTTAACAACATATCTAGAACAAAGTCTCCCAGTTTGGAAAGAATGTTTAAGCTCTACGTAAAGGGGAAACCTCAGGGGTACGTTGGAGGTTCAAGTGGTCGAGGTTCCTGCTTTTTAAACTTTATCTGGAACTCTGCATCCATCAGATTTTGATGGCTCACTGAATTTATCACTGCTTTGCTGATAACAACCTTCCACTGAGGTTATGAGGTCCACGTTTGTCATGTGTGTCTCCAGGTGACAGGTTTCCCATCTACCTTCGCTGACGTGACCAAAATGTTTGTCCATCGCCTCGATAACTGCCAAGGGTTTAATTCCCGTCTGTGAAACCTTCAGGCTGTCGGAGGAGAATGTCGAGGTGAGTGACCACAAACATCCGTGTGCCAGTACAGTGTCACACATGTATCACACAGGGTCACGTTATCTTCAAAGCCTGTCGCCTCCAACATGTGATACGACTCAGACCTAAAAAAAAAAAAAAAAAAGATAATGTAAAAAATAAAATGGCAGACATCTTGCATTCCTGAGCCCATTCCACAAAGTACAATAACTTCCTTGAATTCTTCGACCCTCGACGGCGGAGCCAGGGCACATCCTGTTGTCCTCGCAGCACTTCCTGCTCATGCGGCTCAATCAGTCTTCCTCGTTGCCATGGAAACTGGAAAACACTGTACTCAGGTAACGCTCGGATGATCGTTAGGAAGGATAAAAGGGAAAGATGTTGGCATCAGTTTGCAGCCGGCTCGTGAGGTGTGTGATCTCATCTAAGGAACCCCTTTTCTATTCTTTTAGTAAACATAAGTGACATATTTAATGGCTATTTCATATTCTATATTAAAAAATGCACAATTATCCCAAATAATGAGCTCAGTAACTGCAGGAAATATGTGTAAAACAAGTGATTTGGATGAATTTTGAGTAGAATATTTCCTGTTTAAGGAAGATTTTATACAATCTCTGTATTTTAAATGTTTTATCATTTCTAACAATCATACAGACTTAATAGGATTCTTTTCTGACACATTCAGTGTTTTCTTGTCCCTGACGCTTGATTATTGTTCCATTAGACATTTTACTTTTCTTCACAGAAGTGAACTAAATGCTGAGATATCGGCTTTCTGTGGATATTTTTTAAGTTTCCTAGCACATCTTAAAATCAAGAAGGCCTTGTGACCCCCTATGAGGATTTGGCGACCCCTAGTGGGGACCCCTGACCCCCAGATTGGGAGGCACTGATCTACAGTATAAGTACAGTGCATATGTAAATGATAATTTCAGTTAAAATGACTTGTATATAAACGAGGTTGTTTGTGTAGATGTAGGGAAATACAGTATATAAGTGACATATGTCCATACTTTGTTGTATTTGTCTCTCTGGTGTCTCCATCTGTTTAGAAATGAGCCTGATATTCAAAACTTTGTATAAGTTATCGACTTCTCGTACGATATATCAACATGATCTCAATCAATTTTGCTGAACTCGATATTTCCCTTTGTGTTTACATAACCCTATGCTGTATAACCAGCAGCGTTTTCCCTTTATAAGACTTTGTTTCAGTGCCTGAGTGTTTTCTCTATGCAGAATGAACAGAAAAAACTATACATTTGAAGCATTTTCTCACTTTCCAGTTCCAATGTGTGAATTTTCTGAATTAATAGTTTGTAATAATCCAGTGATGGGGTTTTTAGAATGACCTCGTATTGCACACAGGGCAAGTTAGGAGATATCTCAGGATCATTTGGCAGAAGGTGTGTGTGAGGAGGAATGATTAAAAACACTATCAAATACCAGGAGGCTAGAGGGATATTTACTCAGTACAAGTTAATACATAGGTTTTATTTTACTCTATTCTAATCTCCACAGGATGGGCCTGCTGATCAATAATCTTTGTTGAGACAGACAGACAGAAACAGACATGTTTTTGCATGCAATAAGGGAGTGTAAACTTGTCAACCCATTTTGGGAAAGAGTACTTTGTTGCTCTTTGAAAGGGAGTACTTGCAGTATTATATCAGTGGCATAATGTGGTCTTAAATGGATAATATAGCATTTATTTCTAACCATATATCACCCATCAAAAGTAGTTATTGTGTGTGGGCCTATTTAGTGCATATGTGTGTTGTGCCTTTGTGTGTGTGTGTGTGTATGTATGTATATATATATATAATGTATATAGTGTGCTTGTGTATGTCTGCACAGTGTTTGGTTGTGAAATGAACAATCTAATCGGTTTGCATCATCCAACAAAATATTTGTTGTGTTGTATATCTGGAAACACTGAACTCAGAAGACATAAACAGCTTTAATCAGTGCTGTTAAGCTGCCAGCCCGGCGTTCGTTTGTCAGCTTCCAGCACGGCGGTTCTCGGCCAAACTTTTAATCCCACTTTGTCAGAGAGGGAGAGAAAGAAGGAAGGCGAGCAGGCTCCCCTGGGTATATACTAACCCTGGAGAGATGCATTCAATTCTGCTTCCTGCGAGGCTGCGTCTTTGCAAGCCAGAGGAAATCAGACTGGCAACAGGCCCGTTTAAAGAGATGTTTAGCAGGTCAAAGGATTTGTCCAGATTCTGTATATATATATTTACAAAATGTTTGTTTTGGGGGACTTGTATTGCCTTTTTATTGATAGTGACAGCTGTAGAGTCAAAGCAAAGGGCCACAAGTCACAGTCAAACCCATTGTTGCTGCATTAACTACTACCAGGGTGCCTCAGAATTTGTTATTTATTGTATATAGATGATTTTTTTGGGGGGGCGTATCTTTCAACCGTCACTCCGCATGAACCCCACCTGCAAATATGCCGTCACTTAACACCGGCTTTGAAAGCAGAGAAGGGATGTTACGAGCCCTCATGCCCCGATGGGATGAGGATGAGCGGTCACGCGGAATGGACAGGGATAGCAGACATAGGTTAGCGGTCCATGACATCATGCGTCACGAAAAGGGTGATACCGCCTCGCCTCGCCTCGTCTCCGGCAGGGGTCGACCCGTGCGCCAGCAGTCTAAACACCAACGCCTCCGCCTGCTGCCTGTAAACATGGCGGCTAACACCAGCTCGCAGTGCATTAGTGCAGGAATGTTAAGAATCTGTTTACGTCTGGGATTGAACCTTTCCTTTTTACAGTCCATGTTTATTACTTGGACTATTTTTCTTTCTCTAAATCAGCCAATTAACTGATTATGTCACAACATTTGAGCCAAACAGATTTGACAAGAACAACCTGTATCCAGAAAGAGCCAATGGTGTACAAGTTAAGACATCTGCATATCATATCCTATAAAAATAAAATCTGTCAGCTGTCCAGTTTGTAATCAGTATCCGACTTTGGATATCACTGTTGTATTTTTTGTGCATTAATTTGAGTGAGAGCTGTAAAATTAAGGCGACAATGAGGGTATTCGTGACTGTACACTTTTCCTCATGATTCATCCCGTATATGGTCATGCTGAGGAGTTTTCACGCCTTTTTGGATTAGCCGTATCAGATGGCATTCCGGATGCGTGCGTCTTGACGAGGGCGTAGTTGTGCTCGGATATTCTGGAGATCGGGTTGTTATCTGAAATGCCCCTACACAACCGCTGCCAAACACACACAAACAACATTTTATTGCAGCAAGAGGAATGTATGGACGCCTGTTTTTTTTGCCCGATATGATGTTTTTAGGGTTTCTCGTACCAAATACTTTATCCTCTCTCAGTGTGCGTCACCGTGATGTCTCAGTGTCAAATTCTCTTCTCATTGCAAATGAAGTTATGGAGGTAGACAATCACTGGAGGTGATCTCTTATCTCAGACGGCGATTAAATCTTTTTGACATTGCTTCTGATATTGACTGTGACTGTCCAGGGTTGGTGTGTATAAAGACGCTCAAAGTACAATTCCTGTCTTACACATAATAAAGTAAAAATCCTAAGACTGACGTTATTTCAGCCATGCATAAACATGCCTAAATTGTTTAGGTCTCTGCTTTGTTGGACGCATTTTTAAACCCTTTTAAGACCAAAAGCACAAGAGCAGAAGTGTAAGGAATTAATTAAACATTGTCTTTGTCTGCTGCAACATAAGCTGCAGTAATTAGCATTCACAGCCAACGAGCTTACTGCCTGTGGAAGTAACTGAGCATCACTTCCAATGCCACAAAGCACGTCATGAACTAACTATTTTGAGGACTAACACATCCACTGTTTGGAAGCGGATCCTGGATGCTATCAGAGGCCTTTTTCTCTTGTAAAAAGTGAAAGTAAGTAACTGAGCAGGTTTATGTAAGAATTAAATATCAGTCTGAACTACACTGTCTGCATATTTAAGAAAACTTTAACGACATTCTTGATTTAAAACAAGTCAACTGGAGATGGCATTTTCAACCAGCACATAGAGGTAATGTTAGCTGCCTAGCTACAGCTGTTTAATCTTCCAAACAGTTGTTAATCAGTGGGAAAATCAACGGTTGGTAGCTACCAAAGAGTCCCAATACCTACACTATAAGTATACAGCATAAAAAAGCTCATGACATAGTGGATTCAGCAGGAATATTTACATTAAACATATTTATATTAAATAAAATGTGCAGTACTTATTATATTAAAATGGTTCCTCCATCCTCCTTTAACTCATTGGCTTTCCTCATGCATGCTTCCGTATAATGAATATTATGTCGATACAGTCATGACATGGCGCGGGTTTCTGCAGTGATTGACGTGATGCAGCTGTGACACATCACCTCTGCAGGCCAACTATGAGCTGATTCAGTGTTTGAGGGAGGACATAATTGTAATCCCTGTTACACAACACTCAAGAGTCACTTTGCTGAAGGTTCATTTTATCTTCACTATGCAAAGTTTCTAAGTCCGACTTAATGTGTTTTGACTCATGAGTCAAAGTGCAGGACCAGTCTTACAACAGTTTCTTACAGACATTTCTGGCAGGCATCCATTGTAGTAAAAGTCTTATTATTGCCTTTAAATACCTCTTTTAGTTTCAGCAATTAGACGTGACACAAGCTGCTGTAAAATTAGACGGGATTATGTCAAGAGGAACACAAAGAACAAAAACACCTCTGACATGTTGAAACAGATGAAATTTCTGAATGTTTTCGATGTTGCAGTGTTTTTTTTTTTAATGTTCTCCACTCTCAACTGAACTGAACGACACCGTTTATTGGCTCTAACACGATCGGCGAAATCCTCTTTAAGCCTCTTCCCCTCAGCTCTGCACGCTCATCAAACTTCACTGAAATATGTTTTGATCTTCTAACTGCTTTCCCCAACAGGGCAGCATGTAAGGAATGCTGCTTAATGTCACCGGCTGTCAGTCCGACTTAACGCGAGCCGCTCTGTAACACTACGAATATGTTAAACCCTGTGATGTCATGGCGTGAGAGTCGGGGAAAGACAAACTGCCGGCACGCGATGTTATTAATAGAGCAATGTGTGAGCGCTGTATCTGTATCTGTGTGTGTGTGTGTCTGCAGCTTGAGGAGCAGACATGGAACAGATTTGTCTAATCTGAGCTCCCACAGGTATTTTATTAGCGGTGCAGATGTGTGTAGAGATTAGTGCAGATTAAGACACGTATGTAAGAACTCAGGAAGGAATCTTCACTCCTTGCACTCAGTCGGGTGTTGAGGTTGTTTTTTATGGTTTTGTTGCTTGTGTTTGTGTCCATAAATCAGCTGTTTTGCTTTTAAAGTGGTCTTAAACTGAAGTAAAGTTGGGATTTAAAGTTCATTCCTGAGTCTGGAAACAGAAGTTAACAAAATAGTCTTACTGTGAGGTCTGTTTAGTTTAGTTTAGTTACCTGATCTTTCAACTACACAATCAGCACATTTGTATTATTATTTGAGATTATTTTGTCAGCTGCTGTTTCCAAAGTCAAGAATTGATTTTGAATTTCAAGTTTTCAACTGAGTAAAAAGTCCATCTGCTCATGAAGGTCATGTAATATAATTAAAAGCTCCATAACAGCTACTAAATGGACCTTCTGGTGAGATATTACTCTTCTTCAGCAGCCTCATTCATGCCAATCATGTCTACGAGTAAAGGCTGCATGATTATGGACAAAATGAAAATTATTTTGATCAATATTAAGATTATTCATTGATTTTCAGCACTTTTTTATGGCACTTTCACATTTAATTAAACAGCACTGCAGAGCAGACAGTGTAATGCACTCTTTACTTATTTTATTCTTGCTTAACATCACTTGCCCTAAAATGTTTTGCTTTGCCCGTCTGCTGTCTGTTGAATAATGCTCCTCTTAATCTGGACTGCAGGGTGTGCATGCAGCGACATGACAGAGCAACAAAAGTAAAACCAATGCATCTCAATCAATAAATCTCTAGTGGCTGCAGAACAGAGTGTGGGGAGCCAAAATTGTGACTGTGATTAATATTGGATTGGATGCACCATTCGCTTTTGGGTTAAATAATCACGATTTGCATGACACTTTTGTGCAGAATGAACTCAATACTTTAACATCCTTCTCCTACTTTTTATCTAAGACACAACAGATGAAAAAACCTGATATTAAACCTGCATTAATTTACTTTTTTGGCCACTTGGGGGCAGAGTATAAAGCAACAGAATACTGAAATACTGACATATTAGCATATAAGGTTGTTTTTACATACAGTATCCAGCAGAGCAAACGTTAGCACTTTGTTTCTGTTAACCTGATGAATGTAGATCCAATATTCACTCAAGGAACATGGAGGTTTATGCTGGATGAAGCTTTGCTGTTGTATTTGAGATATTCTTTTGAGAGTTTTATTGCAGTTAAATAAAGTTATACAGGTATAAATGTAGATTCTCACACACTGCAGTTCACACGTGACAACATCTGCTATCAGTGTTTTTAAATGTGGTCATCTGGTGAGTAAACAAATACAGGCCAACATGTGGACGTGCAAGGGGTATGAGATGATATCTGATAAGAGCTACTCATGAGGTGATAACCTTGATGAAGATGGCTCCACCACATATTGTGAGCTTTGTTTTGATGGATTTTACATTAGCTGCACGTGCTGAAGGTCAAACTTGTGCCAAAATACGCAAAAGGTCAAATCTAAGAGGACGGGAAAGTCGAAAACAGGCTGGATCGAGACCAAAGGACTGATCGAGGTTGAAATCGCAGGGAGACAGGGACTCCTCATCCAGACAAGTTGGCATCTTAAATATTATGAACTATATTTAGTACAATGTAGTTTTCCACTGCAGTGATTACCAGACATTAAGAGCTTAACACTAATAAACATTAATTTTAACAGTTATATTCACTGTTCTGAGTAAGATTGGGGTTTAAAGGTGCAGTGTGAAACATTCAGGAGGCTCTATAGGCAGAAATTAAATGTTCATTGGTATGTTTTCATTTCAATATAATCACCTGAATATAGGAATCATTGCCTTACAATGAGACATTTTTATCTACAGACATCGCAGGTCACCTTCCATAAAAGCCACCGTGTTTCTACAGAAGCCCAGAATGGACAAACTGAACACTGGCTCGAGTTGTTTCTGCCTTTGAAAGAGAGGGTGAAGCGAGAGAGTTGCAATCTGGAACTACACCACTAAATGCCACTAAACCTTATACACTTTATCAAATCTAAACTGCTGTATTAAAATGTATTCTCTCATTAAATCAATTTTATTTTTCAATAACATGAAACAGCACAAGTTTAACATTTTAGAGAACTAAAACACAAGTTGTAGCAGATAGACGACTTATTTGCTATTTAACTAAATTTAACTATTTAACATTTGTTAATAAAAAAGAAATAGGCAGAAAGAGTTTCATTATTCTGTATTTGACCAAAATGGAAACCTAATCCAAAAAGCCAACTGTGATTATAAGCCACATTTTGTAATTGTCTTCTCGTCTTGTACCCTCTTCACTCTACATGACATATTTTTGTTTCTGTCAACAGTGTCTGAATATTTACTGTAAAACAAACTCACAAGCATAGACAGGGCGCCTGCTGTGGCATGCAGCACATGCAGGGTTGCAGTGAAATGTGGTGATAATGTAGTGATCATCTTCCTGGGAAAATGTCATTAAGGTTAAACGTACATTACCACTGATATCTGTGTCGGGTGCACCGCCGAGTCTACGTTCTTGCTCTTGAGGTTGATTTTTACCTGATGAACCAGCCGTTTCGTCTCACCTGAACTTGAAGCGCTGCAGATTTAAGACTCAACTTGCTGTATTTGAGTTGTGCTGCATTCGATTTAAACGTTGGAGGACTCGGACTGAACTTGTTGTTGAAACTTAAGTGACTCAGCTTCGACATTTAAAGGGAGTGTTTTGTTGTGAAAGCCTTTTTGCCCATAGCAACATTTTTTTTGAATCCAAGTGAGAAATACAGTAGCAGATCAGAGTCGTTATAACCACCAACCTCAAACATAACAGAACCTGTCCGCCAATCATAATAATCTGGCACACTTCCTTGTCCTGGCTGCACAGTTCACGATGAGGAGGAACACGTGTTCCAGTTGAACCTGAATAACAAGCAAACAGCAAAACAGCAGCAGAGCCAGAGAGCGAGGTAGCAGGAAGGTGCTGGAAATGCTCATTGTTTGAAAGTGTTAGAAAGAACTTGGTGTTTCTCTGAGTCACCGGGGCTGTTGGGACCCTCACTCCCTTTTTTATTTCTTACCTAAATTCTTTGAAGGCCCCTCGATTTGCGGCCCTCCTTCCTCTTACTTCCTCTAAGCATGGTCGCTGTTGCGATTGGCCGGGAACTCCTCACGAGGAGCGGTGAGAATGTGGCTCCGGCTCATTTGCCAAAGTCCTCGGGGCATCCATAGTTCAGAGATTGAATTCTAACCACCTGAATACTTCACTGGCTTTGTTCGGGATTAAAAAAGATGTTTCTGAGGAACTTGTTGAAGGACAGTTGAAATTACAGCTGTAACGTGTTTGTGTATCTCCACAATTTTAATATCTAGGCCACAACAATCTGGAATTTTATTGAATTAACACAATAGTTGACTGGCATTGCTCGTTTCTCATGAATGAGAATGAGTGAGAAACGTAATTGAGCTCTAACAGTTTTGTGTAATTGTAGTCCCTGTTTCTTAGAAACCACTTGTATTGTATTTGCATCAGCAGATATGTTTTTTTAGAGAAACGTAACGTCGTTCAGATCTTTTTTATCGAAGCGTTTTTGTATGAACAAATCTGCACATATTTCATTTGTTTCCCCAATAACTGTTTGTAACTAAAGCGTGATTTACATTTTATGGTAACATTAAAAGAATTCCCTCTCATTTTGTTGAGCTAGATAAAGAAGCAGTATGTAGCCGAATCCAGGAGGCGGTTAGCAGCTACTGTAGCGTGACTCTCCCCGAAGTTCAGAAACCTGCCCATCAACACCTCCGAAGCTCACTACATGTTATCTCTTGTTTGTTTAATCTGTACACAAATTGAAATTTAAAACTGACAGGCTGCAGTCACACGCTGTAAACAGCAGCCGGCTGCGGTGGATTAAATCAGTGAGATACAACCACAGTAGTTTAGACAGGGATGGCTAGCTGTTTCCCCCTCTTTATACTAAGCTAAGCTCATTACCGTCTGGCTGTAGATTTATGTTTTAATTACAGACATGAGAGTGGTATAAAATTCGCTCATTTAAAGGCTGATTTAAAGTTATACGTTGGCTTTACCTCGTTTAGATTTTTTTTTTTTTTTTTTACCCAGCCGCCCGTAAAACTTAAGGACGAGGGAACACGAGGTGACAGACAGGAGCGTGTTTGTCTGCGTGTATGTGAGGACACGTGTGTGACTGTCTGAAGAGGCGTTCATAAAAGGCGTTATTAAGTGGTCTGGGTTTTTACATGAGTTGCTTCCCATTCTCAGACGATGCACACCATCACTGCGACGTGTAGTTACATTTCTCAGTATAAATCAGGATTAACTACTGCATGTTACACAAAAATGCCAAACTCAACTCAAATGTATTTATATAGCATCTTTCATACAAACACGCAGCTAAAAACAAACACATAAAAACAAAATGAACAAGGATCAATTATGCAAAGCTAAACATGAATACAATAAAACAATAAAATGACTTAAAAAAATAAATATAAAGATGAAAATAAATGTCAATGAGAAAGAAACCCACATAAAAACCAAAAATTAAACCCTTTCCATTTTAGACAACTGGAGGGAGTTGGGTAAGGTTAGGGAAATTGTTCATTAAAGATTAAACCGGTTGAAACTGAACTTTAGCACAAGACATGTCTCCTTTGTCAATATGTAACCAAAAACAGTGTTTTCTTTATATCCTCGTTCAGTTTGTGGATTATGAGGCAATTTCATAGACTTTTCATACATTGTTTTCTGGTGTAATGAATACAATAACTGTAAAAAGGCTGCAGTGAACAGCACAGACGGGGACAATGGATCAATTGATGGAGTAATAAATGTTAACTCAGGAGTTGTTTGCACCTAAAACAGGACGACTGATGTTTGTGTGGTACAAAAACACAACGATGAGCGAAGACTGGAAAAAATGTTGGCTGGGAGGAAACATAATCCAGGGAGCAATTACATCACATTCAAAATGTATTTAGCAAAACCGTTTAGTAGCATAATACTGTAATTTCTAGGAGACTGGGTTGTTTAGTCCATAACGCCACAATTTTAGCTTTTAGGCCATAAATCTCAAATTCAGCTGAAATGATACTTTAATTGATGTTTACATTCCAATTTCAGTCATTTACAGATGCTGCATCCTCCTCTTTTTTCTGTCGTGTTATTTTTGCGCAGCATGAGAGGGCTTTTATGTAAGAGCCGATATCTATATTTAAAATGATTAATCTGAGTTTGTGATGATTACGAGGCCTTGAAACGCAAGTCGGTGCAAACCACAGGTTTGTTTATGACAAGTATATCCTCCGAAGGAACAGTTTCATTCTGCCTCTCGTAATCACAGTGTGGGGCGTCTAGATTCGGCCCCTGCAGTGTGTCCGCAGGAGGACGCCCATCACATACCGGCTTGTATTATACGGTAAACAAGATGTTAAACAAATGCAACCCCTGACCTCCTTTTACCGCAAAGAGGGGTCTTTATTAGAATTACATAACCCAGTGGAAGGCCCTTTCCTCTGCTCACTGATGATAAAAGTCGATAAGCGTGTTTGTTTTTTAAATACTGGTTAGTATTTTCATAATATTTTACTCTGACAGACCAACGTCCAGGACATTTGACATTTTCTGGAAGTCGGGCTGGATTCTCTCACAGCAGACGGGGCCAAATGAACACGGTGCATTTGATTCTTTCACCTTTACGTCCACAACGCCTCGCTGTTGAATGTATGTATGGTTTGCGAGGGAGTTGAGGCAAGAAGAGGATTTAAAACATTCCAGAAGTTGTTGTCATTTTTCTTTTTTTTCCATTGCATCAGAGCTGTTTGACATAAAGAGAGAATCGCTGTCAGCCAGTAATGCGTCCCATGAACATGTCATTATCATCAGGCCCTGACATTGTCTGCTAGAGAATAAGAAGTAATTCCATGATGCACTCAGGACTGAGGTAGAGGTTGGCCTTTTTTATTTGATGTGTCATGTTCTGAAAATTTTTGGCTTTGTTCTCCAGATTCCTGGCCGTATATTGTGTCGTGCGGCTGAATATTATCGGCATTATTCATTACTGGAACTCTTTATGAGGCAGCTTGAACAGCCTCAGGTCCTCATTCAGCGTGGCTCTTATCTGCAGCGCTGCAGGAGCCACTCTGTGGTTCCTGTTATTGCGATCCCGCGTCGTGCAGGCAGATACTTGCACCCACTTTGGCTGAAGCCGAGATCTCGCCTTTTCCACTGCTCGACAATTCGGATTGTATAAACCTCAATGACAGAAAATAAGGATTGTTTGTTATTACAATGCCAGTCTACAGTGGTTTGAGCGTGCGTTGTTTTGACTCTGAGAACAATCAACTGTTGCAATAAAAGAGTCCCCCTCCCTGCACAGCTCACCTCCTCCCCTCTCATCCCCTTCCCTTCCCTGTTTATTTACAGCAAGGATTCCTCTAAAAATGTCAGCATTGTCTCTGTATTCTTTACTCTTACTGGAATGGGAAACACCTCTACCTTTTTTACAATTCTTTGAAATAAAACCACGGACTTCCCTGCTGTGTTGACAGCTGTCAGCAACAAGTCTCAATTAATTTGGTAATGATTTAAAGGTGTCTTATGCAAGACTTGACTAATGTCATAAAAACCACAATACAAGTATGTTGAATATGAATGTCCTGGAAATGTGTCCAATGAGAACAACGCAGACTCTCAACACGTTGTAATTGTAATAGTTGATTTTACATTGTCCACATTTAATGCGCTGCAGTTCCCACTTTTTTTTTTTTTTTAAACCTCCCTTAATTGGCAGTACACTAAGCCCCACCCTCTTTGTTGCTGTTGGTATAACAAGTGTGAACCTATCATGATGTCACCCATTGTATTGAGTTCGCACTGTGGTCGTTGCCATGTTGGTTTTATCGGAGCCAACAGTCGCAACGCACTGCGTGAGCTGCTCTCATTCGTAGTTTCAACTCGTCCGTAGCAGGAAACAATGGCGGCTCGCCGAGTCACACATGATCTCGTTTTACAGATAAACAGTAAAATATGTTTCTGAAATAATTTAAAGTAAGATATAGTCAGCGCAATAACAGAATCTTGGTTCGTATCTGATCAGCACTGCGTAGTTTGACTGTTTGATCTGAGTTTGGTGCGTTGAGCTGGATGGACTCACTGAGAATGAGCTGTCAATCACAAGGTAGCCCCGCCCTAAAGCACACACTGTTTTACTCTAAATTGGATCATAAATTACAAAATGAACCATAAGAGATTGTAAACTCATCACAGCTGTTTACTGAGCTCATAAATCAAGTTAGAAGTTGGGTCATTTCTCCATAAGACTCAATACAATCAGTCTTATTTTTTGCAGCCAGTGGATCTGCCCGCTGCTGGCCATTACATAAAATGCATGTGTAGGACACTTCTGCTTGGCTTCACTTCACAGACTCCATTAAATATACTGTCAGTAGTTGTTTGTAAGCTTTGTATTCTGCCACAGCACATGTGCAGTACAACTGTTGCAGATTTAACACAAAAATCCATATTCATTTTTTAGCGAGTCCTTAATTTTAGACTGAAGTAAACACAATACAGCTTACAGCACCACAACCTACATCTTCAACACTTCTCTGTTCATAAAACTGATCATATTAATCTTCATGAAGGCAGGATTTAATGCAGGTCTGTTAGCTTTAGTTATAGCTGGCTTTACCTAATAAATGTGTACATCTAGAAGTGCCTCAGAACTGAAGAGGCCTT